ATCACCCGTCCACGCTCTTCGCCTCAACCCTCTTCAATTTTCTAGTTCTTTTTTTTTCTTAGTGTCCGTATTATTTTTTTATCTTCTCATCACTATCATACTTTTGATCTTGCATCGGAGTTCTTGAAAAATTGTTGCATCTACCATCTGACGGTGTATCAGGGGTTTTTAAAGTTTCCAGAATTCTGCCTTTCAAGGAAATTAATTCCACTTCGTTGCTTTATTCGTTATTCGTTGCTTCGGGTGGTAGACTGGTGCTGGTGACTATTGCGCGAATCTCTTGTTTCATTAAACTTGCGTGTAGAGACAGTCGACCTATATTCTCATTCGAGCATTAATCGGTCCCCTTTGTATTTTGATAATCTCAACGCGATCCTGTGTATTTGGATTACGTAATGTTGTGACAGTTCGTTAAGTCGAATATATATATATATATTTTTTAAATTTTATCTAAGAGAGGATTATGGGAATAATTGAATTGTATTGGATAATTTAACTTTTTTAATTTCGGATATTTTAGGAAGTTTAGGCAGGGATCGTTATCACTTGCTTTAATTAACTTTTATTTAAACCTACGACTTAATCGGAACAATAGATGAGGCTAAAGCGGTTTCGGATCTTTCTAGAACATTCCGTAGTTTCTCGGTGTCGAGTAATTAGACCGAGAGACTCGGGTAGGACAAACGGGGGTATTGTTTACTTGCCTAGCCTCTACTGTACTCAGTTAGGGTTTGGGTTTGGGTCCGGGGGTGTCGTGGCAAATGGTATGTATTTGTTTAAGCTACCACATCAAGTGATATATATTATCCCGTTTGGCTGAGGTTGATCGAATTCGATTACTGGTCAGGTCGGATATCCTGTGGGTGCCCAGAATACTATCAGTAGTAGTAGGGAGCAATAGCGGTAGGGGAGAAGTAGGAGGAGGTAGTCATAGTAGTAGTGATAGTAGCAGCAGCAGCAGCAGCAGCACTGATAGCAGGTACCTATTATAGATACTCTAAATAAAAAAATAAAAAAATAAAAATCCACTATTCTCCATATTCAGATTTTCTTTACAGATCTGATCAGGTCTCTGGAGGTTGTGGAATTTGGTAGAAAATTAGTTTCACATATTCCAAGTTTACCCCTTGTTTCCAGTCAGTTTTCCAGTAATGAGGCAAATTTGGAGATTATCTTTTCGATTTCATTTTCAAAAAATGTTGTATATCGTACCGTTTGCATGTAAATTTGTTTATTTCTTTATGACGTAGCGCATTATATATCCATTATACAATAAACGAAATTAGACGCGATAATAGTTTGGAAAATAAAATAAATATCGTCATTGTTGGTTTCCCTACGTTCTACTGGAAGCCGCGGTTACTAGGGGGTAGTATATTCAGCTACCCCTATTTCTGGTTTCCTATTCGTAAATTCCATTTCGCCCTTTACCGCTACCCTTCGCACAAACACGAAATCACTCTGCCGTAGCTCTATTTATTTTGCCACCCCGCGAAGATACACCCTTATAGACGCACCTCGTAGTCGCCGTTATTTACAATGCAAGCAAACCGCAAGGTACGATGGGTGTGAGACGTCGTGAGAAAAATAGGGTATGCCAAAGATAGAAAACCCTTGTGTATATTCAGGGGTGATCATCCCCATCGACTGAAAGGGGTCAGTATATTTCAATGGAGAAGTTTTTCCGAAGCTTCCGCCCCTCCTCTCTCCCACCCATTCTTTCCCAAACGTTTTATTATTTGCTCGAAGAGGATTATTTGTTATTTTCGAAATCAGCGTTATTCGAAAAAAAAACATATTTTTCAAAAATATTTTACCTATTTTCATCCCCTTGACATTCCAATATTCTTATCGACAGAGTATCTCTATACGCTATTTTATTATTAACACACGCGTGAGTAATAATTATATTTATTTATCGGAGCGATGACCTAGCTGGAATTACACTTGACAGAAGAAGGGTCTCTGTTATGGTCCTCTTCAATTATGATAAAACCTCCCCTATTAAACTACAGGGAATAGAAACTTGCGCCAAGTTGGGACAACCCTATCAGATAAGGGATGATATTTGGTATTACACAGGGATCGAGGAAGGGATCATTGTTTTCTATTAATCTGGAGTAATTCACAAGCAGTCACGTATGAACACAAACACGGGCATACGACGAGAACTGTGTATAACAGTATTATTATTATTATTATTATTATTATTATTATCTTACCAACCCTTATTAGCTTCATTAAAAAGCAATTATACTGGTTTCGAAAGTTTCCGTTTCCACGTATAATCACTCTTGCTTTTCTCTCTATAACATTAGCTTGTATCTCGGTAGATAAAAACTTCATCTAGATAATTTAATAGATCATCTTTGTATACAGTGTGAATCCGTAAAATCTTTGTCGAAAGCTCATCCATCATTCTTCGTAGTTATTGCGATTGCATTTTCGTGCAAGATAAATTTCTCTTACTATTAAGAAGTTTAACGTTATTAAACAAAAGTCGTTCGTTACGATTACGAAGAGTCCTCAATGTTCAGATAATTTTGCTTGTCGCTTTGTAATTAATGAGCCTATATCCTTTGTCTGATTTCAGTACCAAAAGTCGAGATTGTGGATGAACGCGGTGCTACGGCTGGTGATAAATTCTACAAAGCAGGTAGCACGATAGAACTGAAGTGCGTCGTGAGTAAAGTTCCCCATCCGACCGGTTACGTAACATGGCGCCACGGATCACGTATGCTCAATTACGACACGACTCGCGGTGGAATTAGGTAAGTCTTTCATTTTCATTAATTACGCACTAGATATACACGTACCTGCATATTCTATTGACGTCTATTATACGAGGTGCGGATATGCACGTGGGTATTTCGATTCTGCCGCTAGTGGCGCTGCTGTCGTCCACACGTTATACGGACTTACGAGAGAATCTCGTAGTTAATCTAATTGATGACTGTTACGCTTACAATTGGTGGTCCAAGGAGGAAGGGTTGATTTAAAAAAATATAGGCTGAGTTAAATCAGGATAAAAAATGGCGCGGGTTTTTTTATAAGGTCAATTTCATATTTTATTCGGATTACGCGTATGGTCGTGTAATACTACTGTAATGGTCTTTTTCTTTGTGTGGGACTGTGGATGTTATACTCGAAATTTTTTTTTTCATTTTTTAAAAATGAAATTCAACCTCAGGCGACACGAGTGAGGTCGCTACCGAAGTACGACCTTCCCGACAGGAGTAATTTTAACAGCCGGCTGGTAGTTTATGCAGACTGCATAGGAATTCTAATTGCTTCGATAAAGAATGGAGCGACCGTTGAATTTTGAAAGGCTTTCATTAAAGTTCTCTCGAGCGGCCGTGTGTGACCTAATTGGTTATATACCGGAATTCATGAATTTAAAACATTAGCCACGTCCACCGCTTCGATTCTATTTTGTTGTCAAGCTTTCAATCACGAAACGCATCGTGGTTGGCTGAAGGGGATGGGGATTGTATATGATGGAGGGTGGAAAGTGGGGGTGGCACGAGCGGTAGAAGTATTTGAAAATGAAATTTCGTCGAATTAAGTGGATCGCTTAAATATCCATAATTGGCGATTTGCTCGAATTTTCAAATTTGGAAAACACGAATATTCATTACTTTGGAGTTTTCTTTTTTTTTATCATGAATTCGTTGTACAGCGATGTTCTTTTTTATCTGCTTGTGGTACTTATTAATATTTGGAATTTAATTATTTATTTATTTATTTGATTTTATAGGTTATTTTATTTTTAAGATTTATTTTTGAAAATCTACTTTCGGCTGATCTGGCACCGCGTTAATTGCATTCAGATCACTCGAACCCGGCACACACAGGTATCGATATGCAATGACCGTAATGGCGGGAATTTTGAATAAAACATTCCACCCTTTCAAAGCCTTTATCAATCACGATAAATCCGCAGTATCCGATCGCAATTACCACGTATATTTTTCGTCCTTCCCTTTATAAACGTCACAAGCAACACACTGCGGACTTACGTTAAAAATGCAGTAAACCGCGCGATATATTTTTATTTCCTTTTCTCCTTCACGTTAAACACACACGAGTCGTGGGAGCTTTTACTACGTACTTCAATGTGCCACGTTCAAACTATTTCGCTACCCAAAGACTTTTTAGACAGTAAACTAAGGGTTGGTTTAAGTATTTTTTTTTTATTTCACGAGTATGTCACGGGATTCTCGAGAGTTAAAAAAAAAAAGAGGGGATGAAAAAACATAAAGGAAGAAAGACAAACTCTTCGGGACTTTGCGGAGCTCTTATATCTTAACCAGGAGGGGTTCTGTCTGTAGGTGCCCTCTTTTGAGGGTTGGTCTTTCTCATGTAATACTCGCCAGGGTCGGTAGACAAGACTGGGGCAAGTTTTCGGGCTGGAGTGCGAAGTAGACGGAGGAAGTTAGTTAGCACTGGCATAACGTTATTAGAGACTTTGGGCGGACCACATTAAGGGCTTCTCTACTAGTTCACCCTCTCCGTGTCTCCCGGGCGTTTCAACCACCCCAATCCGTTTTCTACCCCTTCTGCGCTGCCAATGTCAATTGATCGTCTGGTTCGGTTCGGAACGTTGATAAAAAATGTATGAATTTGAACGCCGATGCGAATTTCTTTGGATCTAACGGAAAAGGTTCAAAGCTAATTTGTATAATAAAAAAATGCGTTTTTTAACAAATTAATGGTTAACTCTCATCTACGCGGTAGCTTTGGTACGAATAATACTTGGAGTAAATATTTGGATTATACCAGGAGCTTGTGATTGGCCTGCCATCTATGTGCTTGAACCAGACAACGTGGATATTTACCGTGACTTAATATTTGCCAAGTTAACATGTTTAACAATCCATTTCATTGCACGGTACGACTGGCGTGTCTACTGTGCTTGCTTGTATTACCTTCGGCCGGATAACAATTGCCATTCGCTGTCCGGTCATAGAGAGAATGCTCAACGGCTCGTAAATTTCCAGGCAGAAAATCGCTGGGTGGATTCGAAAAATCGGAAACCAATGGAATCCACGCTGCAAAGAGTAAAAAAGATGTATAAAGGCGAACTGAACGAGACTACCGAAAAGTATTTGGAAAGCAAAACTAGAGCGTGATGGCTCGATGCACTCGATGTAAATGCAGTTTGCATTGCTCTTTTTTTTTTTTTTACCAAAGACAAAAAAGGAGACACGAAACGGATAAGGAAGATGGATGCTGGAACACGAAGCAGAGTACGGATAGGTTTGCGTTTAAAAGCAGGTAACGCGAAAGGTTGTAAAATAAATTTTGAATTTACGTGGATAAATTGTTACGAATAATATTAATGGTTTTAATCGAAATCGTGTCTAATTAAATTCTTTGGTTTTGTCTGATCATCCAGTGGGTTTCGCATAAATCAATCCCTGATTCTACGCCCTCCACTCGAGACTCGATGCGAGGGTTCTTATCCACCCCTTACGAATTGCATCCCTGCATAATTGTCACTGGTCTGCTGCAAGTCAGTGCAGTCGACGTTTCCATTAGATCACGCTGCACCTTGAGAGATTAAAAGTGCATTTTGTTAATGCACTTAAAAGTGCTATTGTTTTAGCTTTGGATAATTAATTTTATCCCTGAAAAAGGCATTAATCATTGTTATTAAAATTGTGCGACTTCGTGTGGTATCACTTGGGTCAAGTTTTTTTTTTTTTATTTTGTCACAGGACTAAAATTTGAAGGTTGACTGCCGAAAGGACTTCAGTCGCGAAATGGGTCACTTTAATGGTTATTAGGGTAAATTACGAGAGGACGGAGGTCAGAGGACCTCTGGACCGTCTGATGTGAACTTGCTAATTAGGTATATCGTTGGGATTGTAAAACTTGAAATTTCAATGACGAGCTTTATGTATCAGGGATTTTTGAAAAGAGTACGAATTTTGTTGGTTTCTATAAAGACGTCTTAAATTTTTGTTATCTCATTAAAATTGTGATTCGGATTCGACTTCTTTTTGAAAACTTGGCTGGACCGCCAATCACTAATTGAATATTTCCTCAATGAGAATTTCTCATGAAAGCTTCGACTGGAGCTTGCAAGGTTGACCCCGCTGAGTTTCGAACTATATTCGAACTCCTTTCTCTCTATCTCTTTGTACGTGTCTACCGTCGACTTAAGTCGTTTGAATATTCGCCCTCAAGGGAATTTACTTTCGTGATATATCGCGCTCTTGTAAACGTACCGATTCGAAAGCATTGAATAATCCCTGCGTAAATTGCATTTTTAAAGGGAAATTTTGTTTGGCATTATTCCATTTTTTTTTTAAACGGAATTCAGGTATATTGAAAAGTATTTTTTTTTTATATTTGGAAATGTGTCAATTTCGTATTTCAATAATTGTGCAAATATCTGTCATTATTTGCGATACATTCATCAATCCCTGAAATAATTACTTTTTCAATATAAATGCAACTCTGTTACTTGAATTGGTCCATTTTCAGTTCGTATTTTTGACACGTTTTCATTGACTGTTCTTTTAACTCTGCATATAATTAGGTAGGGATAACATTTGTTCGAAATTTATCAATTAAAACGCGATTCAAAACTACGTATCCATAAACACTCGTGTTTCATTGGGGAAAATTATCTGACAGGTATCCATTACTCGTCGGATATGGTATAAGCTGGTAAATTTTAAAAATCACTTTTATCAGTGCTTTCTTGCGCAAAAACAGTCTTTTTCATATTTACGTAATATTACGGACTTTACTGAAAATTGTTATTGTACTCGTTGTATGTACAAGAGGGAGGAAAATCTGTTAACATCAGATCCGTCCGGTGCTTTGTTGTTGGCTGCACAAAAGCTTTTCAACGTTTTAAAGAGACCGAAGGTAAAAAAGAATTACTAACATGGAGCTTAAGCATGGGTAGCACAGGGTAGCGGAAGGTACTCTTATTTTATAATATTTCATGATTAAAAAATTCTTTTTGGTATATTCGGATAAATTGTATTTATTAAAATTTTAGACTCACGCAATTGCCCTACGAAAGAAATTTTTTAACGATCAACGATACAAGAATCAAGGTTTATAAAGATTTTCCAGAAAATTTTCAAACTTTCGTTTATTTTTTCTTTCATCGAATTACCGCTATCGTCCTCCGGGGTTGTTTGGACGAATTCTTGGGGTCGGTACGAGAATTCCTAAGAAGTGGTTTCAGCTCCAGTATGTTATGGTGCCAGGGTGAGCGAAGGTCTTTCTACAAAACGGGGTCATGAACTCACTGATAATATTCCCAAATGGCTTGGCCCTGTTCTCATTATGGGGAATGTTTATTGAAATTTTTATGTAGTCTGCTTTGCATTTTTATACTCAACCTCAGAAAGCACTACCTATAACTATGCTTCTGTGCCAGCTCGTAGGTAATAACGGGTCATTAATAAGAAGAAACGGCTACATTAATAATCACGACGTGAACAATTAACGTTAATGATGATCATCGGTATTTGAATTTACATCATAAGCAATTTTCGTTTTTTTTTGTTTTTTTCTTTCCATTAGATCAAAAATTTATCCATTGATCATCATTACCATTATTTATTACTGTACCCGAATGCCTTTTTTTTTATCTAACAAAGTATATAAGTTCATTTACTTTTTTTTTTATTCATTCATCCCAAATGGCTTTACAGACGATTCTCCCGTCAGAGAGCGCGATTTTTCATTTGGGCTTTTCGTTTATCGCGCCTACCTCAACCAGCCAGCGTTTCTCATCGGATTA